CAAGCTTTTACAGTCTATTTCATACACTTTCCTTACTCTTCTGTCCCTAATGCTTTAGATTTGCACCTTACAATGAACAAGTGTGATGATCAATCTGGGAAGCAAGATGCAAAAGAACAAGAAATGAAATGTCTGGTTGTAGGAGATGCAGCTGTTTCAGAGCCTGGGGAGACTAAGAGTTTTGGGGAGGAAAAAACTTCAACTTCTTCTATGTTTGAAACAGATGCTTTAGTTCCTGAAATTGAAAAGACTGAGAAGCAAGATGTAGAAGCACAAGCGAGCAATGATCTTATTTTGCAGGATGCTCTTTTGAAGCACTGGTGGACAGACATGGATGAAAGATTATGCATGGATGGAAGACTCTGGATGCTCTTTTGTATGTTTTATGGACAGAGAAAAAGTTCCTTTATCACATCATACATGGATGGAAGATTCTGCTTCTAGTGGACAGCCATCTACTTGTTGTGAACCAGAATTTCTCTGTGAAGTCCAGAGAAAATTCAGATCAAGGTTGAGGGACCTTATGTCTGAAATTTCTCTGGACCAATTTTCTCTGGACTGAAATTTCTCTAGATCAAGGTTGAGGGACCTTATGTCTGAAATTTCTCTGGACCAATTTTCTCTGGACTGAAATTTCTCTAGATCAAGGTTGAGGGACCTTATGTCTGAAATTTCTCTGGACCAATTTTCTCTGGACTGAAATTTCTCTAGATCAAGGTTGAGGGACCTTATGTCTGAAATTTCTCTGGACCAATTTTCTCTGGACTGAAATTTCTCTAGATCAAGGTTGAGGGACCTTATGTCTGAAATTTCTCTGGACCAATTTTCTCTGGACTGAAATTTCTCTAGATCAAGGTTGAGGGACCTTATGTCTGAAATTTCTCTGGACCAATTTTCTCTGGACTGAAATTTCTCTAGATCAAGGTTGAGGGACCTTATGTCTGAAATTTCTCTGGACCAATTTTCTCTGGACTGAAATTTCTCTAGATCAAGGTTGAGGGACCTTATGTCTGAAATTTCTCTGGACCAATTTTCTCTGGACTGAAATTTCTCTAGATCAAGGTTGAGGGACCTTATGTCTGAAATTTCTCTGGACCAATTTTCTCTGGACTGAAATTTCTCTAGATCAAGGTTGAGGGACCTTATGTCTGAAATTTCTCTGGACCAATTTTCTCTGGACTGAAATTTCTCTAGATCAAGGTTGAGGGACCTTATGTCTGAAATTTCTCTGGACCAATTTTCTCTGGACTGAAATTTCTCTAGATCAAGGTTGAGGGACCTTATGTCTGAAATTTCTCTGGACCAATTTTCTCTGGACTGAAATTTCTCTAGATCAAGGTTGAGGGACCTTATGTCTGAAATTTCTCTGGACCAATTTTCTCTGGACTGAAATTTCTCTAGATCAAGGTTGAGGGACCTTATGTCTGAAATTTCTCTGGACCAATTTTCTCTGGACTGAAATTTCTCTAGATCAAGGTTGAGGGACCTTATGTCTGAAATTTCTCTGGACCAATTTTCTCTGGACTGAAATTTCTCTAGATCAAGGTTGAGGGACCTTTGGACTGAAATTTCTCTGGACCAATTTTCTCTGGACTGAAATTTCTCTGGATCAAGGTTGAGGGACCTTAGACATTATGAAAATATTGTTGATGGACCTTAGACATTATAAAAATATTTGATGTCCTTTATGCTATAAAATCATAAGATCAAGGACCTTAAAAAAAAATCCCTTTTTTTAATTAATGTCATTTTTGCTTTTTACTATTAATATGAAAATGACAGAGCGTGATTGTGCATTGAGATGGTCACTTTCCCGCTCCACTCAAATCACAATTTTATTTTTGAATTTATAATTGAACCGTATACTGAGAAATTGTATCAAATTAAAGACCTGGCAGTGTTCAAAGAAAAACAATTAAATTTTTTACAAAAGGAAATTTCTGTTCTAAAAAATTTCAGCAATCTTCTTTACAGAATGAAATAAAAATGATTACGTAGAATTTGAAGTTGAAATTTGTAGCGATATTCCTAATGTATTTTGGGATAGAAAAAAACATATTGTCACTCTTTCTTATGAAACCAAATTTAATGAAAAATATATTCCAACAAAAGCTAGACCAGCCCAAATGAAAAGGGAATATAAGGAATCAGGCAAAACTGAAATTTCCTGAAAAAAGCCTCTCGCCTTGTTATCAACTATAAGCCTCTTTCTGTAACAAAAAAACTATAAGCCTCTTAATGATGCTATTAAATGGATTAGATATCTGATTCTTAATAAAAAAGATTTTTAGATAGATTACAGGATGCTGTTATTTTTTTCCTAAATTTGACCCCTAATCAAGATATTGGCAAATTAAAATTACTGAACAAGATCGGTACAAAACTACTTTCACTGTGTCTTTTGGACACTAAGAATGGAATGTTATACTGTTTGAACTGAAAAATGCTCCCTCAAAATTTCTTAACACTATGAATGATATTTTTATTCTTTACTCCGAATTTTCTATATGTTACATAGAAAATGTTCTTATTTATTCTTCATCTACTGAACAACATATTAAGCATCTAAATTTTTTTAAGAATGCTATTATCAAAAATGGTCTTGTAGTTTTAGCCCCAAAGATGAAGGGTATGTTTGGTTTGGTTTTGAGAGAGTAGTCTTCAAAAATTATTTGGGAAGAGAGTTTAGAATTTTTTTTCATTTGTTTAATGGTGTATTTTGAAAGTAGTTTTGGAGTTTGTGAGTTTTGAATGATTTGATATTTTGTTGTAATTGAGTAGATATGTGTGAGAAAAAAAGTAATTGAGAAAGAGAGATGAGAGAAAAAAAGTGATTGATTGATGTGTAAAAGAAATAAAGTGATTTTAGAAATTGTTTTGAAAAAATTACAAATCGAACAAGTTTTTTAGAAATTTTTTCTCAAAATCACTCTACAAAGCCAAGCCAAACCAAACATACCCGAAACTTTTCCAAACAAAAGTAAGATTCCTTGGCCAAAATATTCATGATGGCACTATTATACCTATTGACCGAAGTATTGAGTTTGCATCTAAATTTCCTGATGAAATTAGATACAAAACTCAATTACAATGATTTTTGGGCTGTTTAAATTATATTGCAGATTATTATTAGAATCTAACACTTGACACTGCTATTTTATATTTAAGACTGAAAAAAGAATCTAGAACAGTGGTCTACTGAACATAACAAAGCAATACAGAAAATTAAGCTTAGGTTAAACAATTACCTTGTTTAGCTATTCCTAACCCCAATTGGAAGAAAATTGTTGAAACATATGTTTCCAACAAAGGTTATGGAGGAATTCTTAAACAGTACAATCCGAATACTTCAAAAAAATAATTGATTAGATTCACGTTCAGAGCCTGGAATAAGGTATCTTTAAATTATCCAACAATTAAAAAATAATGTTTTTCAATTATTAAATGTATTTTTAAATTTTCGGAACGATTTATTAAATCAACATTTTTTTTATTTGTGCTAACTGTAGTGAAGTAAAACAAATTTTCAAAAAAAGATGTTGAAAATCTTTCTCATAAACAAAATTTTGCTAATTGTCAAAGCCAGTTATCAGCATTTGATCTTGACATCGAATATATTAAAGGATAACACAGTTGTCTCACTGATTTTCTAACTCATGAATATTTGTAAGGATCTTCCAATGAGTCGATCGACTATAGGCCACAATCGTGGCCGGGGTAGAGGATCTTCTCCTTATGCCTATGACAATATTCATCTGTATCTCATTGAATTTCCATGTATCATTATTCCAAATAAGAAGAATTCATCTTCACAATCTGTACAAGAAGGCTCATCTCCCAAAAAATCTATAAAATATGCTCTTTTAACAGATGAATCCGAATCCTATCAGAATAACCTCAAGCATGAGGAACAATTTTATATATAGAAAATGTGGATATTAAATAGATGGCTGACACTTGGGAAATTACGGATCTCTATCTCTACAATCAGAATTTTATGTCACATTTTGATCAATATCGATACATCTATGAAGCCATGCTTAAAGATATTGCCTCTATTGATTTCACTCATCACTATGTTGAGGAAAAAAAATCCAAATAGTGCTATTAAATATAGCAAAGCTGTGATCAAACGAATCATGAAACCAGAAGAATGAGGTGAATCAAACCCGTATACTTTCTATTCGTGATAAAAAAATATAACTATTGGGATTATACCAAAGCTTTTACCAAATCCTTTCTTTATATAAACTCTAGTCATACTCATTCATGGTTCATCAAAGTCTGCTCCCAAACCTACCAAGCTGGCATTCCCAACTGTTTTTTTGCTTGGTGCGATAAATTTGGGCCTCACCTGTCTATTTTACTCAAACCCGTGCATATTCAATTTAATCTATGGGTTAATGGCCCTGTTTGGTAGAGTTGTGGGAAAGTGCTTATAGTTTATGCCTAAACAGCTTATAGCTTATAACTATGAACGTAAGCTGATTTATAACTTATCAATTAAGCATCTCCTACCCCACTCAAAGAATAAGCTGATTTCTGACTTCCAAAAAGCTATAAGCTAAACCAAACACATCAAAATAATTTAAATTAAGCTGAAAACTAAAATAAGCTGCTTTTAAGTTCTGCCAAACAGGCACAATGCTTTTCAAGCTATGCCTTGTAATCAGAATAATTATTTATCCAAATCCTTAGCCATTTTTATGATTCACTTCGGTCTCTCTTAGATTTGGAAGTGGGATCTTACTTGTGATTTTCATAATAAACTTTCCTGTCTTAAAAGTTTTTTTTTTTTAAATAGTGGAAGATCCCGAATGAATCCCAATCCGGCCTAATTGAGCAAATTAAACTTTAATACTCAAGCTTGTAAGGATTTAATTCTCAAACCATTCATTCCGAAAAATAGCGGTGGTAATTTTTTTATCCGTATTTAATATGAATTAAAGAAACAATTTTTCGGTATTTATGATAAAGATATGATGATCAAATGCATGGAATAATTTTTTGTAAAATTTGCTTTTTATCAACAATTTTCATAAAACAGGAGCTAGCTTTATAAACGCTGGATGAAACTGGGGGCCAATGTATGTATATACATTTCTCGGTTGTTAGGGTTTCCCTCCACACCACGCCCTGTCTTCTACTCTGTACAAATCAAAAAGTACCCTTACCAATTCCACATCTATCTATCCATTGACTACCTCACTATTGCACAGACATAGAAAAACGAATTCGACCTCGAATGCAATAGTCGAACCTCGAAGGTACTCTCTTCTTCTCTATTAACCTTACCAATTATAGAATGGAACTCACTTCCCTACTCCGCTATCACTTTTCTCATATCTCCGTCAATCTTTCAGTTTTGAGGATGTCTCTTTTGACTTCGTTTTTTTTTTTTTTTTAAATTTTTATTGATTTTAGTTTTTTGTTTGTTTGTTTGTTCGTTTGAATGAATCAAAAATTATTATTTTTTAATACTAGTTTTGGGTTTGAATTGGTTTCTGGTCATTGTGGTTTGTTTCTGTTGTGTTTACCTTCAATTGCTAGCTGCAATACGGTGATTCAAATACAGAGTCGTTCTCTTGAGATTTTTTGGAGCAGAATCTCCAGATTATTCCACGTCACTGAGAAATCTAGAAGAATGGTTATATGTATTATAATATAGTGGAAGCCATCCATTGACTATTTGAGATGGGTTGTTTAGGTTTGTTGCTTAATTGAAGGATTTGGAAGAATTTAAACTAGAAGTTAGAGGTGTTTATGGTTCTATGGAGTGTTTCTTGAAAGTTGCTTAATTGAAGGTTTTGGTGTTGTTTTAGATGCTTAAGTTGTTTGTCATGCATGATGCACCAGATTGCTATTGTTGATATTAGACTCCCCTTTCATGTATGAGATGCTATGAAATACTCGAATGCCTAGCTGTTGACATGTACCTACCCTTTTTTTCAAATGCGGTGACTACTGATGCAGAAGCCTACCACGCAATAAGGGTTGGCTAAACCATGCATGAGTATACTGACCTTGGATGGTTCAATAGTGTGCAACATGAATCTGACTAATGACTGCCCACCGGGCGTTCATTAAGAACCAAATAATGCCAAATAATTTAAAATTTCAATACGCATTTCACCAATTTCCATACATTTTTATATACTTCTATATGTATTTTATATATTTGAATACAATTTTTACACACATACCAACATTAATCAACTGAGGCATTGTGACTATATGGTTTCATTGAGGAGGTGGAAGACTTTAGTTTCTTTTGAATTTTGAGATTATTCGACTTAGCGACTAGCTTCTGATCAAAGCTCGAACCTATTACCTTGTATTATTCTGGGAGCTAATGTCTAATCTCATCATTAGTCCATTCAGGATATATTTTTAACCACTATGATTTATCAATTTCATGCACAATAGTTGTAAAGTTCTCATTGCTTTTGGATTTTATTCTTTTAATGGAGCAGGTAGAGCATTGTTTACAGTGGCATAGAAGAATGGTCAATGCAGTAGTTATCTTTTAACTGTTATGCCCAACATGGAAACTGAAAGTTCAAATACGACGCGAGCTGAAGAAATCAAACTTCTTGCTAATGAAGCATTCAAAGGTAATGATGATTATGCTTGTTTAGTTTTAATTAATTCAACCATTTATTACCCTTCATGCAAGTTGTTTTAGTGAAAACTGTGTCAAAGTTATGGCAAGCAACTTTATTTTTTTCAAGCATGAAAGAGCAATATTCTTGATGCTGTTTTTTGCCTCTTCAGCTGTGCTGACCATGCTTTTTTTTTCCCTCCAGCACATAAATATTCTCAAGCTATTGATCTGTATAGTCAAGCAATTGAACTAAATAGTCAAATCGCAGTATACTGGGCAAATCGTGCATTTGCTCATATTAATCTTGAGGAGTATGGTAGTGCGATACAGGATGCATCAAGAGCTATTGAAATTGATCCCAAATATTCAAAGGCATGCTTTGCAACATGAATTTTTTTTTGCTCTTGTGCTTTAAAATTTTGAGATCTCTTAATTATTTTTAATTACAGGGTTATTACAGGCGAGGTGCCGCATATCTTTCAATGGGCAAGCTCAAGGAAGCACTAAAGGATTTTCAACAGGTATTTTCATTACCAAGCTCATCACTGATTGTCTTGTGAAAAAAGCATTTGTTTAATTTATCTTTGGAAAATTTCAATCATAATACTTAATTGCCAAAAAAATTTATCTAATTTTGTGTTTTCTACCTGTCACATTAATCAAAAGCTCTATTACTTGGGTTGCTTGTCTTGTAAGATTATTGTAAATCATAGCCTCGTGGTATTCTTGTTTGAACTTTGTCTCAAAGTGAATCATTCTAAACAACCACTTGTGTTGCCAAACACTCAAAATAGAATTTTGATGTAATTTAATGGCTGTGTAGGAGTATATTGTTCTTTTGTCTCTTCCCAGGGCTAATGTCTCCCTATTTTGTGTCCCCTTGTATTGACTTGTTCATATGCATGTGCATATCTTGCTTGTAATCTACGTTATGCTGTGATGCATATGGACACTATGTTATTGGCACGGGCATACACTTAAAACGTATAACTTTTGGTTCTTAATTGTCTTAATTTGTCAAGTCAATAAATCGTCAAGTGTAGTGGGCATTTGATATATTGTTTGTGTTGGAGGATGATTTTTTCTGCTCGCTCAAGTTCTTTTTTCGATAGAAGTGTTTGACGTCACAAAGTACAACCATACCTATAGGAATGCACTTGTGAAGCATGGGTACTCCAAAGATTATGTTGTACAAGTACAGGGTACATATCCGGTATGGATACATGTATCAATAGGGTTGCACACGTATCAGGTATGTGAAATATGTATCCGATGCTTTTAAAAAAATTTGAATATTGGGTATGGCTTGGGTATACAGTATGAGTACAACATGTGTATGTATTAGGTACTTTTGTGAATTACACCGAGGTGTAAAAGTAATTTAAAAAAAATATTGGGGTGCCGGAATAAATATAGTGTCCATTTTTATGAACTCCAAAAAATAAAGTTTTTTCTGTTTTTTTTTTTGTTTGCTATTGTTGTTGCAAATATCACAAATTTGAGAGAATAAATAGGGTTCTCTTTAGTCTTCACAGACTGAGCAATCGTATCTCTCTTTATGAGTTGAGCTTTTGCCTTTCTCTACATTCTCTCTTTGTCAGTTGGTATTAAACTCTATACCTTGCTCTAATTGTTTTTTGCATTTCATTTCTTATTGTTTTTTAATTTTTCTTTATTGAAGTAAGTACCCGTATCATCATCCATTCCGGTATCCATGCTTCATAGGAATGCATTAATTGTTCGCGGTTTACCCCAGAGACTGGATTATCAAAAAAATAGGAATGCACTAATGATGCAAGGATGAGTTCACAGTTCACACAATGACTTTGTTTTTGTGAAACATAATTTTGCCTTAGTATTCTGTGGCCAATAAAAAACCCTGCATTTGAATTGGACTCTAGATAGGATATGTAGATATTTTGTTTGTCTTCTTCAACATCATGAATTATGAAACTATGGCAAAGACCAATAGTAATAATGAAAAGGATTTGATCTTTACTGGGTGTTGTGTTCATCTGTTGGGATTAGTCTGGACTCCTAATAGGTTGAGTTGAGGACATATTTGTGTAACAGAAAAAGAAAAGGAAAGAATAGAAGATTTTCATATTATAGCAAGAGGCTTTTTTAGAATGATTATGGTGTTTGTAAGATTAGTTGTCGTCATGAGAAACCCTTCGATTCTATTTGCATTGTATGCTGCTTCAGATTATATGCAACCTTTCATATCATCCAAACAATAGTCACACTGCACTTCGAATATTTAAAAGAAATTTAAGTTTCCCCTCTCGCCCTTGTCTTATTTTGGCATGTTCCTTTACCAATTTACTATTTATGCTTTTGTTGGTTTGTTGTCCATCTTTTGTGCTTTTGGCATAAATGTATGCAAATTTCATACATTTCCTATATACCACAAACTTTTGGCAATGTGCTAACATATATTTCACTTATTAACTTAGCTCAAGAAAATCTGTCCAAATGATCCTGATGCTGCTAAGAAATTGAAGGAATGTGAGAAAGCCGTAATGAAGCTCAAATTTGAAGAAGCAATTGCTGCACCTGAGTCTGAAAGGCGTTCAATAGCTGATTCTATCGATTTTAATTCAATAGGTATTATTTCTCTCATTTGATTTTTCTTTAATTTGTTTATTTAAATCTTTTTACCTTTTAAATAGTTGCCTTTTTTTTTCTATTTAAAATTGTGGCTGGGTGCTTTTAATGCATTTTATTTTGGTGACTGTTAAAGAAATATATCAAATCTTTTGCATACAATGGCATGTATAAAATGCTTAGCATGCTATAAGACTAGTGAAGAGCATAGGTGCTCAACTGTTGTGGTGTGCCGCAATGGTGATCTGGCCAGATTGTCATTAGACTGCGGTGGTGGTTAGATCTTTGGATGGTGGTGGATGGTGGGTCTGGTCGGGAGGCTATGGTGGTGGGCCCGTGGAGAGAAGAAAGAGGAGAGGGAAGGACGTGAAACTGGCGAAAAATAAGGGAGGGAGATGTTTGGCTATGGGTATGGCAGAAAAGTGGCTGGAGGTGTTTAGCTTTACAAGGGTAATTTTGACATTTAAACACTAAAAAATTCCTACATTATAATTTTTTTGTTAATATTCTATTGACAGCTTAACGGAGGGGAGTTCTGTGTATATTGTTAGCCAAACTTGTAATTTCAGAAACAAGAGGGGAGATCTGTGTATCTGTTAGATACCTCAGGGGAGGTTGATGTAATTAGTCCAATAGTTTTAATTTATTTTGGTTAGGACTTTATGTCTTAGTATTTGTTTCTTTTTTGGGATTTTTATTAGTTTAGTCAGCTTATATATATGCCTTTTATGTAATTGTTTTTATCGCACTAGAATATGATATGATTTGGTTTATTGATTAATTGAGATATTGTTTTATGATCGTGATTCCCTAGTTTTTTTGTTGTTGTTGTTGTTCTTGTTGTTGTTGTTCTTCTTCTTCTCTTCATCTTGGTGCTACACTAATTGTTTTCAGTTCTAGTAAGTTATAGGCTTGCTTACAAACTGTTGACCTTTTATTTCTAATCAAAGTTGACAAGTAATTTTTTAACAGCGCTATTTGTGGTTGTAAATTTTGTGAGCTTGTGAGTTATGGAAGTTTAGTTTGATGCCTTGTTAGTTTAGTTAAGTCTGAATATGTCGCATCGCACATCACTTAATGAAGTTGGTGTAAACATGTTTTTATTTTTATCTTTTTGCCTGTGTTCTTTATTATTATTTTTTTGATCTTCAAATCATATAATATAGCTCCTGAGCTTGAGATTTTTCAGTAGGTAATTCTTTAAAAAAATGTTAGCAAAATGTCTGTTGGAAGTCGGCACAAACTGAGGTTCTTGGATTATTTGGTTTATTTTTCATTCAAGTGTTTAAACTACAAAGTTTTATCCAATCATGGTCTTTTACTTGTTTTTTATTTTAAAATCTTGATGTCAGAGTTCCTGTATGTGCATGCAGTGTTGGGTATCAATTCAGCCACTCATTCTTCTTGGTGGTGGTTTAAAATGTAAATGTTTTTCTTCTTGGTGGTGGTTTAAAATGTAAATGTTTTTTTCTGGTTCGTTAAAACTGTTCTTCATCTGATTTACAAGGTGGAATTTAGACATGAAATATAATTTACATTTCTTTTTAGTTCAAGGCTTCATAATCTGTTAGGAAATCCCAATTTCATGAGCTTAACCTATGTCCATGTCTCATTTGTTTGTATGTATACCACATGTTTGATGTTCTCAAGTGGTCTCCCCACGTAGGTCTTTTGGAGTGACGTAACCCTAAAGAACTGTTGGTGCTGTTTGTTGCAGCTTAAATGGGCTTTCTTTATTTTGAGATTCTTTGTCAGACCATTTGTTGTTGATTTTGCGTACAGCTTATGCAGTCAAAATAGCTTAAATAAGCTGTTAAAGGTTGATTAGTTAATGTTGCAGAGGGTGCTTTTAGATTCTTATTAATAGGGCTGTTATCTCTCTCTCTCTCTCTCTCTCTCTCTCTCTCTCAGACCAGTAGATTAAATTTTTGTGATTATCATTGTAGTTTATTGTGGACCATTGCTAGTTCCTGTAATTATGAGTTTTAGTGCATTTCAAATTGATGAATCACCTGTTGTTTTGCTGTCCTTCCATTTTCTTTAGTTGGTTTCCACATGAAAAGGATTGTTTATCTTGTGGATTTTTCCTTCCACTTTGAGGAAGTTATTTTCTGTGTTGGCTTCGAAGTTTTGCACCAGTAGTTGAAGTTTTGTGATGTTATTTCTAGTGCAGCCTTACTCTGGAGTTTGGATGTAGAATAAGTGTGAATAAACACTCCTAGAAGATATGATACTGAAATTGATGTAGGATCTTTAGTGTTTAAGCACTATGGTTAAAGTTTGATGTAAAAGAGTTTATGGTTTTGGATTGGTAGGTTAGCGTTTTGAAACTCGAAAAAGGGCCTGGCGGCTGGTCTGGGCTATTCCAATGTATAGTAATTTTCATGAAGCAATTTTGGTTCTTTTTTTGTTTGTTTGTTTTTGTTTTAGGGTTGTGAGGCTAAGCTTCAATGGAGGGTTGGATTGGGATAATTAGAGTAGAATATCTAGGGGTGATGGTGGGTTCAGCCAGAAAAAGAAATAAGATTTAATTGGGGGGGAATTTCTTAGAAGAAGACAAATGAGAAGATATAGGAAGCATTACAAACCGGGCTAGTTAGCTTACACAATCATCCCTATTATATATTTTTTTCCCCATATTCCCATCATATCCGTATCTTTATTTTTTGGAAATTGTGGCGTCGGTATCGGCGTCGGTGTCCATGCTGCTTAGGTTTTATGTGTACGCTCATCGTACACACATTGTTCTTTTTCTTCTTTGTTGAGTTGTATCTTGTGCAACTGTTGGTTTTAATGTGAATATTTTTTTCATGGATAATGACTAAGTTGTGAAAAGGCTTGGCTTTGAGTTCTGTTTTTCTTCACTCAAGTATTGTTTGAACTAGTCAGGAATTGTAGGATTTGAGTTGGCTTCAATTTCTATGCCAGTTTGATTTTAGGCTAGGATGGGGACCTGGGAAACTTGGTCCAGCCTTATCTACTCCGATGATTCTCAATTTCTAAGGTTTAAAATAAATTGTATTAGTTATATTATACAACAAACTACTATTCTAATTTATACTTTATATTATTTGTGTTTAATGCTCATTAATAATAATATTTTGTTCCCCTTATTTTTATTATTTTAGGGACAGGCCCAGGCTCATCATATTTCCCCCCCCGAGTGGCTGCTGTAGCAGTAGCAGTAGCAGTAGTAGTATTGGCTGTACTACTGGTGGTGGTGGAGCCAAAAGCAGCCGCAGTGGCGGCAGCAGGAGTGGCACTGGTACTGGTGGCCATTGGGACATGGTGGGCTGGCTACAGTGATATTGGTGACCTAGGTTTGAGCTTTTAAAGATTGAATGAAGTAATAAAGAACTATTGGAATTCCTTCATAATTCCCTAAATTTAAAGGTCCTTAGTGTTGGAAATTATATATATATATATATAATAAATTAGTGAATCATTAACCAAAAATATTGAATTCTCAACCTGCATGCCAAACTAGGTTCTTTTGGGTTATTCCATTATTAAACCAGTTTCATTTTATATGCTAGAGAGAACATACCCTGAAATGATAATTTCTCTATGTGAATCTTGAGAGGCAAACTATTTCCCTTTTGTGAGGACACGATTTCTTCCTATGCAGTGGCATTGATGGGTGGGTGGATACTTGTTTTTGTTGTATCTTTTGTAAAGGCTACTAGTGGAATATGCATTTTGGAATTTAGTTTCAGTTCTTTATTAGCCAATGAAAGGAAGGTCTTGGTTAGCTGGGGTTGCTGCTGCATAGAGTTGATTTTGACCTGGATCGTTTCCAGATCTTACCAATTTCTGACTCCTACAAAGAAAGAAAAAATGAATAAGAAATTTGGTAAAGAGAATGTCTTTCTGTGGGGGTGGGGGAGAGATGGCAGATCACTGGGTGTCTCTGTGTGATGGATGCAAGAGGTGGAGCTGACAGTGCCAACCAGATAAAATGTCTAAATTGATGGCTGGAGCCAATATATTCTTAATGGTTTTGTTTGATGAGGATTAGGGACTATACTGTCCAAGTATATATGCTTAATATTAGTGTCATTGCCAAACAATTATAATACTGAGGCTATTTTCTATTATAATAGTTAATTTGTATTAAATAGATCATGGCTACTAAACCAGAACTGTACTGACCTGATCGATTTAGGAAGTGTGAACCAAAACAAACTGAATGTGCGCTAGAATTGAACCAACCAAACCAATGTAGGGTTTCCTAATATATAGTCATTTGTGGTTCACATGGGATCAATATGAATTTTAACTTTTAAATTGAGAGTTGGAGAAATAAGATTTAATTGATACAATATACAAATGAAATAATTAAAATTCTATATTGGAATGTAGAATGATTGTTGTGAATGATGCTTTGAAAATTTTGTTTCTTATTCTTGTTCCTTTTTTTTTCCCCCTTTTCATTTTCATTATTTTTATTTCTTTGATCCATGACTATTAGAGGAAAAGCAAGACAGATAAGAAAATATTAGTTACAGCTAGTTCATGTTTTTTTTTTTTGGATTGGGCATTGAGGTGTCCGGATCAAAGCCCAACTAATCCCTAGGGGTGCAGAGGCCCTTGGCAAAGAGTTTCTTGCAAATGCCCCACGGTTAAGCTAGTTAATGGTTATTTATTCGAATTTGGAGCATTTCAAATTAGTACAAATTCAGTTAAAAGGAAAATTTGAAAAAAGAAAAGAAAGTCGCCAAAAATATTTGCTAATAGAGCCTGTGTAGGCTTCTACAAGTACTGTCATTTGTGCTTTAGTTAATTGTAATTTTGGCATACATGGGCAAAATGGTAATTTTGGCTAAGTGTGAGACTCTGAAATTTGGCCAAGTATGGAACTTGGAAAATCTAGTGTGAATCTTGACAAATAATCTACAACAAGAATGCGAGTGCACCGGCAAGGAAGAGTAAGAAACAACCAAAGACATGTAGCAGCATTAAATAAAGGCTTGAAATTCCAAAAATAAGGGAGCCGAACCTCTGTTAGGCAAAGAAGACCGCCCCGTATGCAATAAACCAGCAAATAAACCTCAAACAGAGCTTCATACATGCCAGTTGGCACCCATAGCATAGATTTCATGACAGAGAAACATTGGGTAATGCTCCGAATTGCATATCTAAAGATTGTTGGCTCTCAAAACTTTGGAAAAATTTAAAAATCGAAACTCACATCAAATGACTTCAACCTTTTTTACAAAAATCACCATAATTACTTGGAGGGCAAAACAAGACCATGTGTTTGCCTGACCATGGCATCCGTATTGACGTTGATGTCACACTGTTGTCATTGTACAATGATGACGTCAGCATGTCATAGTCCAGAATCTACCAACACGTGCTTGGGTAGGATAGGATTGTCTTGATATTGAGTTAAGTGTTAGGCTAGAAG